GTTGAACCGCTGATGTCACATGGATTATTTTACCGATCTCCTTGCTACGTTTCTGGACCTTGATCGTGTTACTTACATTGTTGTCTATGGGAGGCTCAGAGAGCTCTCAGAATTCATCAAAAATATCTTAATTTGTGTTCCGAAGATGAACGGAGGTCTTACGGGTTTGGAACGACATGAGGGTGAGTAATTAATGACATAATTTTCATTTTTGGGTGAACTATCCCTTTAACTCTCTGGTGGTCTTTGGTCACTTAAACGGAAAAATCTAACATTATGAAATTTATACTTCGGAAAAGTACAAAAGTTTTGTGCTACTTGCTATTTGAACACACAAGGAAAATGTATTAGAAAAGGTTAAATGGGTTAAAATGTATTAACTTAAAATAATATGAATTTCCTAATATTTGTTTTATTTTATACAGAAATAAATGGTGTGAAAATTAGAAATGAATATTTTTAGTAGCATGAAATCCCCTCAAAATACAAAATATTACAGAATAAATATTATTGAGATTAACAAAATATCACAAGTGTGGCCCCTAAGTGAGGAATTCCAGAGGGTAACGTTAATGATTGTAGACAAACCTCTTTGTGGTTTTGAAGAACCAGATGAACTTGACATGGTAGAAGAGCTTTCATCATCGCTGTCAGGAGGAATGTCTTCAACCGAGGAATCAGAATCACTGTCAGATTGCACACTGACATCCTTACTCTTCTTAACTGAAAACAAATGAAGTGTTATTGATCATAACGGTCAATCTGCAGAACTATGCCGTTATTAAAACAACAGACACACCCTGGGAGCCTGTTAACGGTGCAGGAGAACCATCTTTTTTCCGAGCCTGGAACACAACTTCTCTGTTGACTGAACGTTTCACTGTAAATCTTTCCTCGGTGGCTGTAAGAGTCAAGTTTCTTCGTTAAAACCAATCTAAAGTTATTTAGTGCTTATGAGAGGTTGTAATAAAATACTCACAGTCTTTTTCATCAAGAAAGCTGAGTGTATTGCTCTTTAAATGGTGCTTTGTGTCTTTGGACTGGAGTGCAGTGACTGAGGGCTCCTCAGCATCACTAGAGTCGCACTCACGAGCCTTTGGACTAGCGTTACTTCGCGGCAAATCCGCTTTTGAATCCGCTTTCTCCGTTTCCTTTCCGCCATCACCACCGCTGAGCTTTTCATTCTCAACTTCATCACTGGATTCATTTTTCCTTTGCCTGAAATTTCTGCGCGGCTTTTTGTTAAACATTTTAAATCCAATCCAATGTGAACGTGAAATCAACGACTTGTAATGTACTGACGTAGTTTGTACTTCCTGGTCGTCGTTTAGAAACAGTTCATAATAAAAGTCCTGCACCTGATTAACGAAATCGACTGTATATATTTAATTTATTGTGAAAAGTGTTGTTGTAGTTGTGGCAATATCTTCAAATACATATGGCAAATGTATCCAAACTGAATCTTGTCGATTTTAAAAGTGAAACAAAATTAGTTAAGGCTCTTTCCCCCAGCACTTAAGTATATTCTTATATAGAAGTTTAGCCTTTTTTTTTTTTTTTTACTTCACATTATGTTATTGTTTTAAAATAAGCTTCTGCACAACTAAAACTGTAAATCCTATTTTCAGTGTTTGCGTCCTTATTTATTTGAAGTAATGATAAAAAGATGTAAATTACTCTCTCATCCAACTGAGGGTGCTAAAGTATGTACTATGTATAATACTATGCGAGTTATAGTGTCTACATATTCCATCTTTAGTGTAATATTTGGGTAAAAGTTAAGAGTAAATAAACTTGTAATTAACATTTCCAGGATTTTTTTTAAGTAAGCAAAAATATGGTTGTCACACTATATGGCGTGCTGTTAAAATATTAATTAAAATAATTATTAAACAAACTGAAAATGTGAAAAGTAGCATTTAATAATACCAAACCACTGTTTGGGGCAAAAATATTGTATTTAATATATATATATATATATATACACATACACACACACACACACTAATAACTATTTTAAAATATGCATGAAACTGAAAACCTTATCCAAGAACACCGATAAGTTCAAATCTTCCTGCCTTTTTCCAGTGCATACGTTACTACTAAAATATAAACAAATTTTATTTTGAAGGATTGAGGTTTGAATTATATGTTTGGCATCCCAAAAAAATACACAACACAGTTAATTGGTTTATAAAATGTAATTAAGCATGTTACATAACATACATAGGGCATAAAACATTTTCACAAGGCTTTTGTGAGACTAAAATTCATGGGAAATAAAAAAAGAGGGGGGAAAAAATCACATACACAATAGAATAAAAGACATAAAGGAGAAACAAAACATATAATAGTGGTCGAATCTATAATGACACTCTCTGGACAACCACACACCTGTGCACAATGCATTAAAAAGTACTGAACAGAACTTTAATATTGGCAATATGGCAATTGACCATATGCACGATTACTTCCTGGTTTTAGATAAGCCAGCTCAGTCATTTCCGATCAACTGTACTGTGCCGTAAGGGGAGCGCCCTTTGCTCGGTTTCTCTACATAATCCATTCACAATTTGAAGAAAAGTTCTGTTTGTCTAAGAGGACCAAACGTCCACGCATAACGTTTCAGGAATGACAAATGCGAATGTTAAATTTATGCGAGTGAATCCGTTAAATCATGCCGCGAGTCATTGCTATGGTTGACAGTGGCAACGGAATGAATCATCTGACCAGCCGATGTCAAAATAGAGCTGTGCATTAAGTAATTCAGACTAACAAAACTACAGCAGCAACAAGTCTGTGTTGGATAAAACTTAAACGATGTAGTTATTAAATTAAATCTAAACATTTCAAAATATTGAATGCATTATTTAATTGTTATACCAGCTTATTTAATTTGTATTTAACTATATAGGTATTTAAATAATTTAGCATTATAGGCTGCTGTCTGGCCTTATTTATTTTTTTAAATGACAAGTGACTTTGTGACTTCCTGCACTTGCTATACTTTATACTTCAGTGCGATATTTATTTTATAATAAATCAAAAAGCAAGACGTGAAAAAAACTAGGGAGTTGAAATGGCAGCTGCAGCCAATGAGTGATCCTTTGCTGCCATCTCCTGGTTATAACGGTAATTTCATTTTCATCTTACAAAGTCTTTATTTTTCGTCCAAGAGACACGTTTTTGGCACATTTCTTCATGAATGAAAAGTGAACCTTTAATAAAGTGAATTTTACTGCAGAGTTGAGAAATAATAAAGGCTTTAAAATTGTGTAAGATTCTAAAAATGTGTTCATGGCTATGAAGGTAAGATATTGATTATCAAGAACACCATTACAATGTTGTTTAAGAGATTAGCCTAACTGCCTAAACAGTTACCATAGTGTTTATTTGTCAGCATTTAAATGTACAGTAACCTGTCAGGGTACTTTCC